GTAAATAGTAGAAAGGTACTGCATAAAATTTTATGTGCCATTAGAGAGTGGTGTTACTTTTTCTGAACGCTTAGTAGAAAGATCATTAATTACAACTGGATGCATATTTCGTCTTACGCACTACAGAAGAAAAAAGCAATAAACACTTTTTTCACAGCAAACACCCTTTACTTTTAACTCTTATTTGAATTCTCATAGTGGCATACAAGTAGTTCTATTTCTGCTTGAGACAGACATCTAGATGACATTCATATCGCGGTAGACATCTTTCAAAGAGTGCCTGGAATACACGATACAGGCACACAGTAACTACCTGAATGGAAGACCAACACAAACGATTGGTTTCTACTCTTTCATGTTCCAAGCATTTTCAATGTTCAAAGGTTTTCCTACGACAGTTTTCTTTTATAAATGAACATTTCATAATATTTTCTCTTTTAGCTATCAATTTGTGGACTGTGGCTAGTGAAATGCTCACAGTTTTCACGATTTTCAGTTGGTTCTTTTATTATTGAGTGCCTTGTAAACAGTGTTAAGAGGTTTGTGTCCGTATCCATAGCTTATTCGGCACAACTACTTTATTCTTGTATTATACAAAAATACACCATATGACCATCTAGATGCCTCTCTTTTTTAGCAATTTGTCTTTGGCTGCATGTTATTTAAAAAAGGGGCAACCCATTGACAAATATTTTTCCAGTTTATTTATGTTTTACCTATTTTGAAAATAGAGCATTTATAATATTACGAAAATACTACACAAAGGTACAGCGTCGTACAGGATCTTTTATACGTCGAGTAAAACCGTCTGCAAACGCTAGTTAATCTATGTATAGAACAATAGCAGGAGCGTCTTCAGATTCAGAACACAGCAGTAGGTATTCTGTTTTCCTCGGTGAATAGTCGTTATGTATTACAACGGTATACAATGACATCATCTGCCGAGCTAACAACGTAGGGTCACTGAAGGACACGACATATTATCTAACAGCTTATACAAATTTAATCATACCATGAATAATTGTGAAGGAAGATATTGTTGTTTAAATAATCCACAACAAAAGTCATCCAAATATTAAACTTATGAACTAGCCTACAGAGTTCGGTTTTCAAAATATCAAAGTTGACTATTGGCGAATGCTTTGCGCGCACATAAGAATTTCAGGAAATCGCTTCATAAGAAACCTATTCAATACTAAAGAAAATCGCAACTTTCTGACTCCTATAAGTAGTATAATGGGTTAATTGGGTTGAGCAGTCTGTCAGTCACCCGATACCTTAATACTTGAAACTTACGTAATTCAAAAATACACATTCGAATTACATGCACTTATTCACTCAACAGCTTTAGCAGCCATTACTAAAATAATGGTATACGTGTTAGTTTATTCAGGTACCTAAACACTCAAAGTTTTCAGGTTAACGCCTGCCTTTTACGGGACTGAGATGTGTTACTAACTCGACAGCAATTTGTGCTCTCCTAATTGGAATGTGTACCTTCGACGCCACTCGATTCCCATCTCATGCTTTCGAAACACTAAACTCCATTTCTTGGTCTGACAACCCTAGCCTTTAATTAACACAGATTTAAACCAATTTAAATTCAAATTATCGTACACGCTTATCGTTTAAGGCCGAATAGTTGATTGATATATTTATAACATTATATTAATAATGTCAATCATAACATGTTCATGTCAGCATAAACAATTAAGACATAATTATGTGACGTCACTTATATACCGACTTGTAATATACATATATAAAAACGATAACCGATGTTCATAAAAGTTGTCAACTTGTATAATAACAGCTTAATCGACCTTAATTGCAAAACTACGACTAAGTTGTTATAAATAATGTTTAAATGCAACTAATAACCGTTTACATGTAAAGGAAAATGTGCTTTTAAACTGCTTTAGAAATGAAAGATATTCAAATTAAATTATGTGAGTATAAAGAAATGTAGGAACGGAGATTCCATCCTTGACGGGACTGTATACCCGGGTTTGTATGTTATTGTTGGTGTAAAGTTGATACGTAAGACATAGAGTATCGTGCTTAAATTTTATCTAATCTATGAATAATAAAATGCATTTCTGTTCCTTAGTCTCCCTGAAACTTGAGAACGGCTGAATCGATTTGGCAAATTTAGCTCTTGAAATACTCGTGAAATTCCAGAGACGGTTTAAAAGGTAACAAAAAAATTTTAGGCATAACGAAGTTTGCTGGGTCAGCTAGTATGAATATAGTTATTTACCAAACGATTTAACATTATAAATGATTGGGAAAAAAATTGCCAATTAAACTCATAGTATTTGGAAAGGAATTCTATAAGAATCAGGTCATAAACACAGTATACAGATGGCGTAAACATGCAAGTCCAAACATGCAATATCTTATCTCATGGTAGGGGCCGGGACTCATATTATCTTGTGTACTTACCGGATATTTCGAATCAAACATATATAAATAATTTATTGCCAAAAAACGATAAACAGATTGAAGACGGCTGAGTAAATACGATCAAAGTAACCGTGGTAATCACTAACTGCTACTGTGATTATCCTTATCATGTGATGTGGTCAAATAATAATAATAATATCATTGTGCCGATAGTCATGTCGGCCAATGTGTTAATCCCTCGCTCCCTAAAGCATCCAACTAAGGAGGCTGGTGTTAGGTGGATGGATCATGGGCCTGATACAGAAGGCATTTCTTCTAGAAACGGCACGTATCGTAAGGAGGTTACTATGCTCCAGCTATTGGTCGCCTCCTATTTTTTATTTTAAATATTAATTTATTTTTTGTTGAGAAGTTTTTAGTGTTAATTTTAAATAAATAACTAGGTGACCCGGCAAACTTCGTACCTCCTAAACGTATATTTTCTGACCTTTTATATCTTCCCTGGACTTCCATGAACATTTCAAGACTAAAGTTACTCAAATCGGTTCAGCCATTCAAGAGTTTTAGTGAGACTAACGAATGGAAATTCATTTTATTTATAAAGATAGATATTAAGGAAATTACAATATTTTTTTGTAATTACATGTTGTAAAAAACCCTTTACCTAATTATAAACTTAACATCTTAATGTAATCAAACTCGTAAGTCGATAGTAACTAAATTACCTACGATGCTGGGTTGGAATATTGACTAACCCGACGTAAAAATATATATACAGTCTCGACGTGATATTATTACCTACATGGAAGACTACACGTGCATAATTGATACTGTAAGCAACATATTAGACCTTACAACAGGTCTTTGTACGATGTAAAGTTCCTTGACACCGCGAAAGCATGGAGATAACCTAGTTATCTAATTTAGTGATAAGAAAGAATTCATAAATAATTACTTACAGTTGTTCCAAGTGCTCGAGTCCTTGGAACACGTCTTGCTCGATGTATTGGATGCGGTTCCTGTACAGGTACAGGTACTTGAGCTTGCGGAGTCCATGGAAGGTGCCGGAGACCAGTTGTCGTAGCCGGTTGTCATTGAGCAGCAAGGAGCGCAGCGAATGCAGGTGGGACAGCACTCCCGGCTCTATGTCCGTGATCTTATTGAAGCGTAGGTCCCTGCGAGAATACAAAATTCGTTACATCATTACCATTCCATATTGTACTTACTAACGTATTTTAGAAGTCAACATCGCTCAAGTTTGATATTGAATCGGAAATTGTTTTCATCGAAACTGCGTCAGAGCTGACGGGCATGAGAAAACTAGACAAAGATTCGAAGTGCAAAGTTTACAACTTGGCCAAAACCACACAACAACTGCCTTCTTGTATATGTACAGGTACTTAGTACCAGCTTCGCATATACTTGTAACTTGCAAGGTAATTGAAATTGGTTATTGTTGGATCAGGTATTATTAGATTGAAGATTCACTTTGCTAATTGGAAGCAGATGTGTATTGACAGATGGACGTACAGTGTCGGCACTGATCTTAGAAGTGCAAGACCTGTAACCGACATTGAATGACACGTACAAACCTTGGATTTGGTTGTGGATAAGATAGGAAGCCCACGCGTGAACGATCACGTTCTGAAAGTATGAGACTAGAAAATGTCGACTTACGATTATACTAAGTAGTTATTTGCCGTTTCTTTGTTTGTAACCCTAATTAAAAACAGCACATCAATTTTAAGTTTTAAGGTTGAATACCATATTTACAAATATCCCCTCACATGGTACATGGAAAAACATCGTATTTCCGAAGTTTCACAAATGGTTTAGAAGAATGTGAAGGAAGAAATAGCCGAATAAACATAAGTAATGCCAGTCAAAATCATAACCTTCCTTTATGGTTCACCGAAGTCAGATAAAAATTAGCGTATATTCGTATAAGGCATAAATAAACAAACTTACATTCCTTCCCTTTGTCTCATTAAAGCTCGGGTATTCGTCGGTATTACTGGCATGCATGTAGCTATTGCAAGATGTACGTGTATCAAATAACATAGGTACACGCAGAGTCAGTACAATAGCAACAAAATTAACTTTGAATTCCATCATTTAGACGTTTTGAACGATGTATCCCCGTAATGAACAGGTTCTGTTTCATTGTGTCTACGATTATAACTATAAGTAGTTTTATTTACACCTAAACTTGGATTCGGTCAAAAAGTTATAGTCCGGTACAATCCTTGAATATCTTCACATAATTATCTATGTAAATGTTTAAAGTTAGTCAAGTTATGCACCAGTACCTCGGTAGGTAAGTAAGTCATAAGTTAGCTTAGCTAAACTGTTCCAAAACTGATCAGGTCCTCGGGTTCAGGGTTGTTAATGAGGGGTCGGGCACAGGTGTGTTCTTACACGAAGAGGACTATAAACATACCAAATATTGATCGTTATGACGGATAACTGGTACACACTACACACAACGTTTGGCAAAAGTTTAAAGAAAAGGAACGCGACGAGTGGACCTACGTGGAACCAGTTCTGTTCAGTATTAAAGGCTCTTTTTATTTTTATTATGAGTTCGAAAGGCTCAGCGCGTACCCTCTCCGGCTATCCTCGTCAGTTAGTATTTCGTAATTTAATAAACGATGTTACATTGTTCCTTCCACATGGATTCACGTAAACAACGTGTCATGTAAGATATAGTATGGTATAGAATGAACTTCTAAACATGTTGCTTTAAATTATCCGTTTCATTGCACTTGTTGCTCTGAAGTCTTACATAAAAGCTTCTTGAGCGTGAGCATTCAGCAACATGAAAACTTTTGCTTCGAAATGATGGCGCTGTATAAAATGTTACCCAAAGAAATTTTCTGCACTTCCACACTATTATAGTCTTCCAATACCAAAGCAGAGAATTATTGGTGCAATGTTATTTTATGAAGCTTTGGGAGAATATAATAAAACACCCACTGATTATTCCCTTCTCTGTACATTTCAATACAACATCTCAATATTTAACTTATGTAGATTTATTCTTAGATAAGAACAAAATGTTACCGTAGAAGATTTATTTATTTATTTAATTCAACTTCATACAACAAGTGTGTACAGGTGGACTTAATGCCTTGGGCATTGTCTCCTAGTCAACCTTTAAGCAGTGCAGAGATGAAAGTAGCAGGTGATTTAAACCTTTATAAATAGGCAATGTACCAGTGTAATAAATAACAAATCTCACACTCAGAATATTCAATAAACACTAAACACGATTTAACTAACTATTAAGGGCCGATTTTTCAATACTCAGTTAATTCTTAGCTGTAGAATAAAACTGACATCTGACAGTTTTTCGTATGAAAGAATTGTTAAATCGGACCTTAGTAAAATAAAAAAAATGAAGGATCTGGGAGAATGTCAACCGTACATTTGAAATTCATTGTCTTATTTTATTAACAAGAGATATTCATTCGACAACGCAGGTGTGATGCATTCGTAAAATGTGTTGCATTTTTATCGTAATTTGAATATGTTTTATTATCTTATTCATCTTTATCAGCATGTCTGTATGTCTATCTAAGATATTTCTAATGAAGAAGAAAGGTTGTCTTCATAACAAAGACTTTAGATATACCAATAATTCTGTTTCTATAAATATATCGATACGTATTTCAATCAAACAGCAAAGTGTTCACACCTTAGAAATGTAGTCTAGAATATTGTGTGCGTTACCCAGGCAAAATGTTTTGCTTTAGAGAGATGAGACTTAAACAAATAATTAGTGTATCATGAGGAGCAATTTGTTTACTAATAGCAAAATTTGTTTGAATTGTAGTTTTTAAGTTATTTAAGAAAAACAAATTTTGCTGGAGTAACGTTTGAAACGTTACCCAGGCAAAATCGTCTTTCAAAAATTAGTTTCAGCACGGAACCAAATACATGAATAGATAGCTTTTGTTGAGTAGTAAATGTTTATAAATAGCAAAATTTGTGTGTGGTAGAGTTCTTTAGTTATTTAAGATTTTGCTGCGGTAACGTTTTGGGATTTCCCAGATCTCGAAAACGGCTCAACGCAGAAGTTTGAAAAAAATACCAATAAAAGACCTTAATTTGTTTAAATTTGTTTAATCATTAGTTTTTGATTTGGTTGACGTAAACCAATGTAATTAAATGGTTTCAAAAATCAGAAGAAGCGGGTTTACATGTAAACCAATACACTTATAACCAAATAAACAGCTGTAAAAAATACCCGTGGTTCGACGCTTGTTTACAGCAGACATTTTAGATTTCATACTTTACACGTTAAGAAGATAAAAACAAATTTGATTTATTTTAGACTGGTCGTACTTTAGCGATCGAATACGCAGTTCCCATAACATTAAGAAACATGGCATACTTTAAACAAATTAAAATGATTCATGAAAATTCCTTCCTGTTAATTTCAGCCTTGAATTACGGCTCTAATGAAAGTTATCTCAAAAACAAGAATATGTCAGCAATTCTCTAATAAGCCGACCAAATTGAAAAGGTCACGTAAAAGCGACTGCACCGTACGTACGGGTAATCTTCGCAAATTAGCAGCTTGGTAACCGATGTTTTGTACAGTTAAGCAGAAAAACGTTATTCGTGAAGCCGATTTTTTAATATTTTTTAAGTGCAGTACCATATTACACAATTTTTACTAGTTAATGCCAATTAAAATGCCATACTGTGAGTCGAGGTGAAATGGAGTCCACCTATCAACCTACGTTATTAGTACCTCCTAAGGAAAATTGTACAAACTATTAATGTATCCAAATATTAAAATTAAGTAAGTAGGTTATAACTTATCTGTGATTTTTCTCTAAAAATGTTGATGCTAAGGCAAAGCAATACATATAATTTGTATGAGACTGATTTTTTAAATAAAAATAATGAATCTTAACCATTTTATTATTTTAACTAACCTGACCAGAAAACTTTTGTATTCAACTGTACTAACAAAACATCTATATTATCCTGTTCATTTCAGATGGTTGCGCTTATGTATGGTGCAGTCGCTTTTATGTGACCTTTTCAATTTGGTCGGCTCATTAGAGAATTGCTGACATATTCTTGTTTTTGAGATAACTTTCATTAGAGCCGTAATTCAAAGCTGCAATTAACAGGAAGGAATTTTCATGAATCATTTTAATTTGTTTAAAGTATGCCATGTTTCTTAATGTTATGGGAACTGCGTATTCGATCGCTAAAGTACGACCAGTCTAAAATAAATCAAATTTGTTTTTATCTTCTTAACGTGTAAAGTATGAAATCTAAAATGTCTGCTGTAAACAAGCGTCGAACCACGGGTATTTTTTACAGCTGTTTATTTGGTTATAAGTGTATTGGTTTACATGTAAACCCGCTTCTTCTGATTTTTGAAACCATTTAATTACATTGGTTTACGTCAACCAAATCAAAAACTAATGATTAAACAAATTTAAACAAATTGAGGTCTTTTATTGGTATTTTTTTCAAACTTCTGCGTTGAGCCGTTTTCGAGATCTGGGAAATCCCAAAACGTTACCGCAGCAAAATCTTAAATAACTAAAGAACTATACCACACACAAATTTTGCTATTTATAAACATTTACTACTCAACAAAAGCTATCTATTCATGTATTTGGTTCCGTGCTGAAACTAATTTTTGAAAGACGATTTTGCCTGGGTAACGTTTCAAACGTTACTCCAGCAAAATTTGTTTTTCTTAAATAACTTAAAAACTACAATTCAAACAAATTTTGCTATTAGTAAACAAATTGCTCCTCATGATACACTAATTATTTGTTTAAGTCTCATCTCTCTAAAGCAAAACATTTTGCCTGGGTAACGCACACTAGAATATTCTGAAGTGAAGCACCGATCCGGCTTCGTTGATTGTCATATCTAGGAGCATTGAATCATATTTCTAGTTGTCGCGACTTAGACTTTGAATTTTGAATGTGACTTTCACCTCCCAACTACCTAGGGAACATTTATGTAGTAAGTTCATGGCCGGTTGGCTAAGGCGACCCGCTTTACGGGAACCCTTTTCTGCATCTCACAAAGCTTTGTTGACGACAGAAGCTAAAATACCCACGCACCTACTTATTTCTATAATTATAGTCATAGTACTGCCTTTGTGTAAATTTAGATTAGAAAAGGAATTAGAATT